AACACCACACTGTACCCCCAAAGTGCATCAATGTACACAGTTACCATTCAATAAAAAAAAATAAATAAATAAAAAAATAAAGAGATGGGGTCTCCTATCTCTAAGTAGACAAAAAATAAAGCAAATTACGTGAATATAGTGTAGTTGTAAAGAGCTTATCCCGGGACTTTAAATCCAAGATTTGAATACCTGTTGACCACATGTCCTTGGCCAATATACTTAACTTCTCTAAGCTTCAATTTCTATTACAAAGGATAGAAGTGGCTGGGCATGGTGGTTCATGCTTGCAATCCCAGCTATTTGGGAAGCTAAGGAGAGAGATCACTTAAGCCCAGGGGTTCTAGGCTACACTGAACTAGTGCCACTGCACTCTTGCCTGGGCAACAGAGCAAGGCCCTATCTCAAAAGGAAAAAAAAATGAATAGAAGTACACCCACTTTACAGTCATTGTGAGTCCTTGCTCATTAACTAGCCCCCAGTAACCATCTGTCATTATGACTATTGCGGGAGGTGGTCTAACTTTAAGTGCAGGGTAACCCAGAGCTTCCTCTGCAATGGCTATTAAGGTTAAACACAACAGGTGTGGAGAGTTATGGTAATTACATATGAGGGCTGCATGCATAAGGATTGCCACGTGCTCTTTCCTCACGTGTTCTTTCCCTACATATTCTTTCCCCAAAATCCCCATGGAGAAGTACTAAGCATCAATGTTTAACACATGCTTACTAGTGAGTGACTGATCTCATTCCAGAACACTGAGTTACTTGGGGATTGCCCCCAAGTCACAAAACATATAGGCTTGCCAGGAGACTGTCCTGTTTTCAGCGTTTCCTTTTAATATGGTAAGAATCAGTAACTGTCCTTTGCAAGCAAGGTGTCCATTCCTTTCTCTCTCTATATATATATGTATATATATATTTTTAGAGACAGAGTCTCCCTTTGTCACCCATGGTAGAGTGTTGTGGCATCATAGCTCACAGCAACCTCCAGCTCTTGGGCTTAGGCAATTCTCTTGCCTAGGCCTCCTGAGTAGCTGGGACTACAGGCACGTGCCACAACACCCGGCTATTTTTTTGTTGCAGTTTGGCCAGGGCCGGGTTCAATCCTGCCATTCTGAGTATATGGGGCCAGCACCCTACTCACTGAGCCACAGGCACCGCCCATGACTATTATTTTTTACTCCCCCCCACCCCCACTGAGTTAGTCAGGGCAAGTACTATGTAATTTGACAGGTGAGAAGAGTGAAGCACAAGTAAAGTGACTTAACCAAAGACACAGAGTGGAGCAGAGACCCAACCCAGACCTTCCTAGACTGGCTTCCCTATGTATGGTCTCACCTTGTTGACCTGAGTGACAACAGCATCCACAACTTCTCCTTTAAAGGGCCGGAAAACAATAGCCTTGTACTTAACTGGATAAAGGACAAAGCCTCGGCCTGGCTGGATCACACCAGCACCAATATTGTCAATGGTGGTGACAGCAATTACAAAGCCATACCTGAGAAGAGGATGAGAAAGAGAAATGACTGTGGGTTGAAGGGCCTCTAAAGCCACCTGCAACAAGTCACTGAGCTTGAGGGTTTGGGTGGAACAAAAGAAGTAGGTAGCACCTCTGCCCTCAGAGAGCTTAATGACCAGAAAGACAGGGCATAGGCGGCACCTGTAGCTCAGTAAGGGGGGCTCCAGCCACATACACCAAAGCTGGTGGGTTTGGACCCGGCCCTGACCAGCTAAAAACAGGAATGACAACTGCAACAAAAAAAAAAA